AGAGAAAAAGTTAAGTGAGTGCATACATGGAGTCCATGCTCAGTGCATGGCAGGATTCCATTCCGTTTCCCAGGAGTGAGTTAGTGGAGATACACTGGATAGGTGGAGAGGGCATCAGCTCTGCTTGTCCCTCCTAAATGCAACAAGTGACAGTAGTGGTGTACATGAATATGGAGCTCTTAACTAAAGCTCAGTCATCTGTTCAAGTGTACATGGTGTATGGCCATCCTTAAGTTAGACGTCCACCTTTAGGTTTAGTTATCCCTGTAAGCAACCTCTGCCCTGTACCTGGGCATTGCTGAACATAGCACAAGCAAAGGTACCCCATGTGCAAGACAGTGCCCTACTTCTAGCTGCCCAGCATGGCCCAGAAGAACCCATCCTGGGGTAGGCCTCCCATGTAACCCACATTTGGTGCCCAACAAGGAAGGGAACATGCAAGAAGTGTCACTCATTTGTCATACATGCCTAAAAACATAGGGTATTGCAAGGCCTATTGGTGTTTACGTAGGGAGGTGCCTGTTGTAATTCCCTTATACACCACAATATGTCCCTATATTCATTTGTGACAAATGCCTATAGTCTAGTTAGTCACATAGAAGAAAGCCCATTAAGTGTGGCTTATGCCTTAGGGCAGTGTTTTTCAACCTTTTTTGTGCAAAGGCACACTTTTTTCATGAAAAAAATCACGAGGCACACCACCAAATGTTAAAAAAATTTATTGAAAAACTTTTTGACTTGAGGGCCGCAATGGGTTCATATATTGGACCCGGGGCCCGGACCAAGAGTAGATGAATGATGTGTATGTGTCATCCATAGTAAGTATAGTAATATTCCCCCATAGTAAGCATAGTAATTAATCCCCCATATAGTAATTCATCCCCCATAGTAATTCATCCCCCATATAGTAATTCATCCCCCATAGTAATTCATCCCCCATAGTAATTCATCCCCCATATAGTAATTCATCCCCCATAGTAATTCATCCCCCATAGTAATTAATCCCCCATATAGTAATTCATCCCCCATAGTAATTCATCCCCCATATAGTAATTCACCCCCCATAGTAATTAATCCCCCATATAGTAATTCATCCCCCATAGTAATTCATCCCCCATAGTAATTAATCCCCCATATAGTAATTCATCCCCCATAGTAATTAATCCCCCATATAGTAATTCATCCCCCATAGTAATTCATCCCCCATATAGTAATTCATCCCCCATAGTAATTCATCCCCCATAGTAATTCATCCCCCATATAGTAATTCATCCCCCATAGTAATTCATCCCCCATATAGTAATTCATCCCCCATAGTAATTCATCCCCCATAGTAATTCACCCCCCATATAGTAATATCATCCCCCATAGTAATTCACCCCCCATATAGTAATTCATCCCCCCTATAGTAATTCATCCCCCATATAGTAATTCATCCCCCATAGTAATTCATCCCCCCTATAGTAATTCATCCCCCATAGTAATTCATCCCCCATATAGTAATTCATCCCCCATAGTAATTCATCCCCCATATAGTAATTCATCCCCCATAGTAATTCATCCCCCATAGTAATTCATCCCCATAGTAATTCATCCCCCATATAGTAATTCATCCCCCTATAGTAATTCATCCCCCATATAGTAATTCATCCCCCATAGTAATTCATCCCCCATATAGTAATTCATCCCCCATATTAATTCATCCCCCATATTAAGTCCCCAAGCCCCCCCTGTGTCAATTCACTTACCTTTGCTCCGCGCGTTCCTCTCGCCGTTCCGGTGTAGCATGAAAATCTGTCTCCTATGAGGATCTGTCCCCTCGACGTATCTGCGCATGTGCCAGTTTCAGGCATTAGCAGCCGATCGGCGATCTCCGGCACATGCGCAGATACGTCGAGGGGGACAGATCATCCTGACAGTATCACGCTCCGCGGGCCGGATTAAAAGGTCCGCCGGGCCGTAGTTTGCCCATTGCTGTTCTAATGATTGGTCTATTTGTGAGCCGAGGCCACATATTACGGATGAAATTGCAATTTTTCCCACGGCACACCAGACAATATCTCACGGCACACTAGTGTGCCGCGGCACAGTGGTTGAAAAAACGCTGCCTTAGGGTTACGTGGCAACCTTCCTCTGTCATTTGGTAAGGCAATATGTACTGTACATAAGTAAATGGGGGGGGGAGCCCCAGGATAGTAGGTGGGCAGCAAAGGTAGAAAGAGGATTCTTCCCTTTGTGAGGCAGCACCATGTGAGTGCAAATAGTGCTGGGGTCTGTGCTCCCATAGAGTAGGCACCTGAATTGCTCCCTGTGTAGAGGGTGAGGGAAGTGGATTACAGCCTATGGCACAGAACATGATTTTACAGTATAATGGATAGGTGCAAGGGTGGACATGGGTCTCTCTGAGAGGACTAGACATAACCATCAGAAAGTTATGATCCTTCAGGTAGGTCTGTGAAGTAATAGCTGCCACTGATATATCATATATATATATATATATATATATATATATATATATTGTTCCGCTGATGATTTGTCAAGTGTTGATCATTCCCATATGGAAGAAAAATATATTTGAAATATATTTTAAAAACATTCTTCCCAAACATATTGACATATATGCTACAATTTGCTACAATTTTGGCCATATTCAATATATTTCTAAATATATATATTATACACGGTATATATACTGCATGTTGAAATGCGTTTTTATTACACAATATATGAAAAATATTTTAAAAATACATTTCAAATATACTGTATGTCTTCAAAATACGGTATTTTTAAAAATATTTTTTTCAGATATTTTGTAATATATAAAAAAATGCATTTCAACATGCCGCATGTATATATATATATATATTTCTTTCCACCCATGTGCAGCATCTATGGACTGCTTAATGTCACTATTAGGAGCTACCTAGCCCCTTTGCTGATTCATATACTGAAGCTATTGAAAGTGGCATCCTCCCAAGGGCACAGACTAGACATTTATATTTTAAGGGGCATGTTTAAAACAGTGAATCTAACATTCACCAAGCAATTACTGCACGTGAATCTCCCTGATGCATGTCTTTCCAATGACAGTGAATGATTCACCACCAGTGAATGTTTGGTAAAATCACATTCACTGCTTTATAAATCTGCCCCTTTGAGTCAGGCATTTGCCTCTAAACACAAATAGGTAAATTTTCGGAGCCAAGGAATATGTGGATTGGTAAGAACAGAGAAGACTCACAGAATTTAGGCACAAGCTGAACTTTTAGAGAAGTGCTGGCTGCTTGTTTGTTAGTATTTACCAGCTGTGGTCTCATGTCTGTAAATAGGCAGCAACACTCTGCCTCCCTAACTTCACTGACCACATGACATCCACCAGTAAAGAAAGAAGCCTATGTTCTCGCTTTTGCCCATTATTTCAATCCAGCAGCCTCCCAATATCTGCCTATGTGATGTCCCTAAGTAGTTGGAGCAATATATTCTCTTTGGTCCTTACAGGGGATTCAGGAAAGGACAATACAAGATTAGGGAGGTGTAGTGAAGAGGTAGGGAGGGGCAGACTGAAAACATGCGTGCAGGACTATGCAGGAGTAGCAGCCTGAGTAAGAGGCATCACCCCGGCAGTTTTGAGGCACTTTTTCCTCGACCTGACCACTTCCACTGGGGCATTTTTTCCTGCCAATGGCATCAAGCATTTTATACTTCCACTGACCTCTTATGCTGGGGCACTATTTCCTCCCACTGACTGCAGTGTAAATTTTCCTCCCACTGACACTACGTTATTTTTTTCTTCCCACTGACACCGGGCATTTTTTATTTCCACTGACACTAGAGAACTTTTTGCACCCAGTAACACCAGCACATTAATACTGAGGCATTTTTTTTTCTTCCAATGATATTGGGGGAATTTTTTTCTTCCCAGTAACACCAAGACACTTTTTTCCTCTGATGACACCACATAATTGTTTCCACCCACTGACACAAGGATATTTGTTTTCCTCCAAGTGACACCAGGGCATTTTTGAGTCCCACTTGCACCAATTTTTTTTTTTCTCCAAGTGACACCAGGGCATTTTTTTCCCCTTCAACTCACAACTGTGGTATTTTTCCTCCAAGTGACACTAATGCATTTTTTTCTCCCAGTGGCACCAATGCATTTTTTCCCTCTCAGTGACACCAATGCATTTTTTTCCTCCCACTCACACCATAGCTTTTATTTCCTCCCAGTATCAGCGGGGCATTTTTTTCCCCCAGTGACACTGAGGCATTTTTTTCCTTCCAGTTACACCAGGTAATTTTTTTTACTCCCACTGACACCAAGACATTTTTTTCTCCCAGGACTACCAGGGTATCAATGTATTTTTGCCCCACTGACAACAGTATACCAGGCATTCTTTTCTCCAACTGATCAGCAATATAAATGGCACTTTGATAAATACTGCAAACACATACACTATATTGCCAAAAGTATTGGGACGCCTACCTTTACACACACATGAACTTTAATGGCATCCCATCCTTATCCTTAGTCCGTAGGGCTCAATATTGAGTCGGCCCACCCTTTGCTGCTATAACAGCTTCAACTCTTCTGGAAAGGCTGACCACAAGGTTTAGGAGTGTGTCTAATGGAATGTTTGACCATTCTTCCAGAAGCACATTTGTGAGGTTGAGCACTGATGTCGGACGAGAAGGGCTAGCTCGAAGTCTCACACCCAAAGGTGTTCTATCGGTTGAGATCAGGACTCTGTGCATGCCAGTAAAGTTCCTCCACCCCCAACTCGCTCATCCATGTCTTTATGGATCTTGCTTTGTGAACTGGTCCGCAGTCATGTAGGAACAAGATGAGGCCATCCCCAAACTGTTCCCACAAAGTTGGGAGCATGGAACTGTCCAAAATGTCTTGGTATGCTGACGCCTTAAGAGTTCCCTTCACTGGAACTAAGGAGCCAAGCCCAACCTTTGAAAAACAACCCCACACCATAATCTCCCCCCACCAAACTTTACACATGGCACAATGCAGTCAGGCAAGTACTGTTCTCCTGGCAACCTGCCAAACCCACACATATCCATCAGATTGCCAGGCAGAGAAGCGTGATTCGTCACTCTCTTTTCATTGCACTTGGTGATGTAAGGCTTGGATGCAGCTGCTCCACCACAGAAAACCATTCCAAGAAGCTCTCTACACACTGTTGTTGTGCTAATCTGAAGGCCACATGAAGTTTGGAGGTCTTTCGCTGTTGACTCTGCAGACAGTTCTGCGCACTGTGAGCTTCAGCATGTGTTGACCCCACTCTGTCATCTTACAGTTGATGTTGTTTCCAGTTGCTTCCACTTTGTTATAATACCACTAACAGTTGACCGTGAAATATTTAGTAGCAAGGATATTTTATGGATGGACTTATTGCACAGGTGGTAACCTATCATGGTACCACGCTTGAATTCAATGAGCTCCTGAGAACGACCAATTCTTTTGCAAATGTTTGTAGAAGCAGTCTGCATGCCTAGGTTTTTTTTTTTTAACACCCGTGGCCATAGAGGTTATTGGAACACCTGAATCCAATGATTTGGAGGGGTGTCCCAATACTTTGGGCAATAGAGTGTATTTTACATAGTCCTGACCACTGTACTCTATACATGATATTGTATATTACATAGTGCTAACCAATGTATTCTGTAATACATATTTCTAATTAATGTGTTTATTGTATCAACAGTTGTTGACTGATATGTTGTTACCATCTTTTTTTTTGATGGAAATTCTTTATTTTAAATTTTCAATTCAAATGAAGGTTACATACATTATACATGCAATAATTTCACAGATGTAGAACACAGGAGTTGACAATAACAATGGCGTAACAACTTCAAATATTAGATCTTATGAAGGCACATAGCATCTGTATCCTATCAAAAGTTTCCATCTGTTTTAATGAAGTCATTTTTTAAAGCGGTATTAAACCCAAAGGCAAGCATTTATTATATTGCAGCTTACTAATACTTAGATGTGATGGCTGTTTTAGTTTCCTTTGTTAGGCTTTCTTTCTTCTATTTTCATCTGGTGGTTCAGCCAGCAAGTCTGTTGTGCAGAACGCATCAGTTTGATGGGTTGACACAATCAGGGGCGGACTGAAAACTCATGGGGCCCCCGGGCAATAGGGGATCATGGGGCCCCTGTATCCTTGCCCAAACTCAAAAAAGCCTATGAAAAAGGTACCAGGGGCATCTCATGGTGCCCCCTACTGACCCCAGGCCCTCGGGCAGTGCCCGAGTTTCCAAATGGTCAGTCCGCCCCTGGACACAATTCATTTACCACTGGCAGGGGTGCTTATAATGGTCAGCTTTTATTTATTCATGTATTCATGCATTCATGTTTGGGTTTAATACGGCTTAAAGGTAGGCTAAAAAAAAGTGGTTTGCTCTCAGTGTATATTCTGTTTTGTTTTTTTCAACAATCCTTTAGCTTTATGTGCATCTGTGAGAAGCTCACTCATAGCACAAAAATTATAAAGCATTTTTCAGATGAAAGGATTCTTGCAAATACAGCATGTGCACTGCATACTGTGAGTTGACTCAGATTCTATTTAACCATGCATCCTATTTTTTTTTTTTTTTTGCTGCGGCACATGTATCCATCTTTTAAATTCTAATGGTATGCTTCTCTGTCTGGAGATGTACTCTATATAAATGCAGTCTGCCGGGAAGGGGGGGGTGCTTCTCCTGTGTCTGTAGTACAGAGACAACAAAATTAGCTCACTACCTTGTGGGCTGATGGTAGTTTAGAGCCTATTAAAAAGGAAAACCTATTCATTTACACATGGCTAACATGCAGTTCAAGCAGAATAATGAAAATAAAAGCCTTCTTTGTCATTTTGTAGGCTTAGTTTCTACTCTTTGCTCTTTGTGCAGGATGAGCTACTCATCTTGTCAATGCAATTTAAGGGAGTAGGCAGCCAGAATTAAGATGTCCATAGAGCAGCCTTTCTCAACCAGGGTACCCAGTCACCCTGGGGTGCTTTGAGGTTTCTTCAGGGGTGGCTTGGCAAAATGTCCAAAAATTGCCCAAAACTTGTATACAAGCCAGCAGGTAGAACAAGCCTGCCTTTTAGTTACACAGAGCCAAAGGTTTTCATTGTGCACCATTACGACATTCTTGCCGCCAGTGTCCTGACAACCAATGACATCATCAGTTGATAAGGAGGATGTCAGCTGCCTGCAAAGCATCCTAGTTTGACCCTCCCCTTCCCCTCTCAGTCAGTGCTGGGGTCACATTAGCTCAGTGATGGAGAAAAACCAAGGGGGAAGAGAAACACTGGAATACTAGTCAGTACCAGTGTGCAAAAGTGTATTTGCTTTAGAAGAATAAATCAGCTCTAATGTTGGGTGTCCTACATGTGTGGATATTGCTATTAGAATAGTTATTTTACACTTTAGAATGGGGTGCCCTTTTAAAATTATGAACAGGCTTGATGCACCCCATTTTAGAATGGGGTGCCTCAAGACTGTCCATAATTTTAAAGGGTGACTCGGGACTGTCCAAAATTTTAAAGGGTGCCTTGACTGAAAAAAGGTTGACAAACACTGCCATAGACGGACCGAAACGTACCCAGTACAGCACAAACAGGCCGAATTTCAATCAGGCTTAATTTCAGATGTGTGACTTGAGTTGCACAGAATCACATGACAATGGAAATCACATTATTTTCAGAGGTATTGGTTCTCACCAATTCAATTCAGCATGGAGTGAAATTGAAAAAGGATCCTGTTCTGCTTTGGTGTAATTCCAGTACGATTTTGAATAGAATATACAAACCACATCCAAGTAGCACTACATAATCGTACTAAAAGTCAGATCAGAATCGGATCACAGTAGTGTGAACCAGGGGTGGACTGACCATTTGGAAACTTGGGCACTGCCCGAGGGCCTGGGGTCGGTAGGGGGCCCCATGAGATGCCCCTGCTACCTTTTTCATAGGCTTTTTTGACTTTGGGCAAGGACACAGGGGCCCCATGATCCCCTATTGCCCGGGGGCCCCATGAGTTGTCAGTCCGCCCCTGGTGTGAACCTAACCTCAGTGTGTGGCCATCCCTTTTCAAAAGAAGTTGATTGTTTGATCGACTTCTGTTGCAGGGATATGCTGGAAAACATTTGTCAATCAGCAGCTGCAGCCAGTTGTCTGCATCCACTGATAAGTGTATTCTGACAGCCGTGGGTGTTGGGGGAGAGGTGGGGGTTCCTCCATCCACCTTGTTTGTATGGATGGAGGAAACTGTTTTTTTTTTTTCAATTCAGCCTGCTGGCTGAACAAAAAAAAAAATGCCTTCTATGACCAGCTTAACTATTCTAATGTACTTTTTGGTCTCCTTCACACTGCTGCCTAAAAACTGTATTTTTAGGCATACATGCATTTTTTTTTTTTTTACTGATTTACATGCAGACCATTGTTTTTTAACCGCTTCCCAACCGCCCTATAACAGAAGTACTGCTACAGAGCGTCACGGAATGCACAAAATCATGTCTATATACGTGATCTTGCATTTCTGGGTAGGGGGCAGGTGCGCTCCCTACCCGCACCGCTCTTGCCTCCTCGGCATGTCAATCACTGGGTCCTGGCCGCCGACTATAACATAACCATAACATAACTATAACATATAAACCAATTAATTTACAAGTATTAGGATTTTTTTAGCACAGACATGTAGCAGAATACATTTTGGCCTTAATTTATGACAAAATTTGATTATTACATTTTTTTACTGGATATGTTTTAGAGCAAAAAGTCAAAAATATAGTTTTTTTTTTCAAAATTGTTAGTCTTTTTTGTTTATAGCTCAAAAAATAAAAAATGCAGAAGTGATCAAATACCACCGAAAGAAAGCTCTATTTGTGGGAAAAAGAGGACATACATTTAATTTATGTACAGCGTTGCATGACCGCGCAATTGTCAGTCAATGTAATGCAGCGCCGTATTGCAAAAAATGGCCTGGTCAGGAAGGGGGTATATCTCCTGGAGGGGAAATGGTTAATATGCTTGTACACACAGATGCATAAACATGCACTGCGTATAGATGAGTAATAAAATACAGAAATCTGTGTTGCTGGTCAGTAATTTTACACACGTATGCTCGCATATACGTATGTACTGTGTAAATTGTTAATTTGAAGAGGTTAGAATTGAATTCTCGGAGCTAGAACTTACTTTACATGCGCACGTGCAAATGCACACAAATACATTCAAAACGAATGCAATAAATGTTGGCCAGGAATACTGATGTTCAAATATCAGTACTATGTGCAAGTACCCTTTGGGGGGGGATTTAAGAAAACTATTGTGCACAGAATCTGGTGCAGCTGTGCATAGTAACCAATCAGCTTCTAACTTCAGCTTGATCAATAAGCTTCAACAAGAAAACCTGGAAGCTGATTGGTTACTAGGCACAGCTGTACCAGATTCTGTGTGCATTAGTTTTATCAAATCTCCCCTTTCTGCATACCTCTAGCTTACAGGGTAACACCCTGTACAGGCTGGGAAATGTATTGCTGGTCTCACTGACTGATTGATGCTGTTGTCAGCCGAATAATAGGATCTACAGTACCTTTCCTCCCTATAGGGATTGCATAACTCCCAACTTTATGGAAAAGAGGGACATATTATAGGCCAAACTATATAGGCAAATGCCATACCACTGCTATACCTCCAGCAACACAGACCATAAAGATTAATGTGCAAAAAATGATTGGTTTAACTTCATTTTGGCTTTTCAAAACAATATATATAATAATTTAAAGTGGTTGTAAACCTCTGACATGAAATTTGAACAAAGCATATTTGTCTATAGTGTTGTATTGTCTCAATCCAGAGCTAAATGTTATTTCTATCTGCAACTTCATTCCTGTGCTATCAGCATAAATCACTTCAGAAAAGTTTTCCTGACACCAAGAGAAAAAAGGTGACAGGGGAGGGACCTCCAGAAGATTGACAGACTCAACTCTGTTCTTGTGTGTTGTGTGAAGGGGGGGGTGTCGCTTCCTCCAATCAGTTTTCGGAGCTCACCTCACTGAGTGAAACTTTAGCTCCCCGTCCCCTGCTTTTCAGAGCTGAGAGATGCTGGGTACTTTTTTTCACTTGCAATGGATGCAGAGGAGAGTGTACTGCAGATAAACAAGTAAAACCTATGTAGGAGGATTTGCTTCATCTCTGTGTATTAACTGTCGTTAGTCACTTCACTGGGTATATGTAAGGATTTACAAGCACTTTAAAGGTTAGATAAAGAGTTTGGTGCATTAAACACTCTAATCAAGAAGGATCCTTTCCATCAAAAAATAGTTACAAATAAAGAATAAAGAAGGGAGGAATTTGGTTCTAAAACAGGGACAGTTGAGAACTATTGGAATGCCCCTACCAGTGTTTCGGAGGGTACAGGTATGTTTAATAAGGTATTCTGTTGGGGAAAGCCATAGTGATGAGAGAGACAGATACAGTTAGGTCCATATATATTTGGACACAAGCACAATGTTAGTTATTTCAGGTATTTACCAAAACATATTCAAGCTATAGTTATATAATGGATATGG